AGTTGATCAAATAAAATAACATATTGCACATTAGCAACAGGCCTGTTGGAAAATTATGTAAAGTAATGCAAGTAAAAAATTATAAACGAAATATAATTAAAAAAAAAAAATGATATTAAATTATCAGAACATTTTATTAAAAGAGGAGAAGCCGCGAGTCTCAGGTCCGTGAAGTTACCACCGACAATTGCGAATTTTTGTAAAAATAAGTTGGCATTCGTTTGTTCACGATTGTCCAACAAAAATTTTAGTTTGTCCACACTTCAAAAAAAAAAAGTTATAGCAAAATGAAAAATTTGAACCAAATTTCACATCAGTAAAACCTCGATTATCCGAAACAGCCAATATTTGTAACAGGAGGGTATCCACCGAACCCTCATGCTCTGATCACAGATACATCAGATTTCACATGAGGACGTATCGGATACCTGCTCTTTAATTCCGTGACCCTAAAAGCATAAACTGGATTGGATACGAAGAGACCCTCCAGGAGGGGCTTGGAAACGTATTTAAAACTATTAAGAATAGCGCAGAGATTGAAGTGGCGAATGATCAAATTCAAAATGCCCTTATTACTGCCTATCAGGACAACTGCCCACTAAAGGAGAGACGAGACCTAAGGGTTATTCCGTGGTGAAGCAGAAGCCTCGACCAAAAAAGAAAAGAAGTTCGACATCCCTTCAATCGAGCTAAAGAATTTGGCTGCTAGGAAAAATACCGCAAATCTCTAGCGGAGTACAACAAGGCTATCAGAAAGGCCAAACGAGAATCGTGGAGGAAGTTCTGCCAGAGTATATCAGATTTACCTGCAAGTACCAGACTTCACAAGATTCTCGCCAAAGATCCCAGAGAGGAAGTCGGCTCGATAAAAAGACCCGATAACACCTGTACGGACTCTGGCAAGGAAACTTTAGAGATTCTTCTACAGAAACACTTCCCAGGCAGTCGAATCCTGGAGGACAGGCAACATGTACCCCCTACCTTTAACGGAATCGACTATACGACCCAAAAAGGAGGACTGGAACTTCGTTGCACAAATTGTCTCTCCAAATGAGCTATGAATTCATTCTCCCCCTTCAAATCACCCGGAGAGGATGGCATTTTCCTGTCCTTTTACAAAAAGGACAGGAACTCCTGCTGTCCCTGAGGGTTGTTTAGAGCAAGCCTGGCGTGGAGCTATATCCCGCTAGGATGGACGTTGGCGAAAGTCGTGTATATACACAAGGCTGGTAGAGTAGATACTTCCCTACCAAACTCTTATCGTCCAATCTGCCTAACATCCTTTCTTCTAAAAACACTATAGAGGATTCTAGATAGACATATTAGAGAAGGAGGCCTTCGAACAAACCCGTTAAACTCCTCCCAATATGCCTACCAAGCAGGCAAATCGACAGATCATGCCCTGTACAATCTAGTAGGAAAAATCGGCCATTCCATAAATCACAAGGAGATTGCGCTAGGTGCCTTCCTAGGTATAGAAAGCACGTTCAACAAGGCCCTTCCTCAGTCTTTGTTCGCTTCTATTGAAAGAAGAGGAATCGACAAACTAACTTGTAATTAGATCAAAAGCATGCTGGCAAACCGGAACATCACTTCATCACTGCAGGGAGAGACTATCAATTTTAAGCCTGCCAGAGGATGTCCACAAGGCGGCGTACTTTCGCCCCTACTGTGGACTATTCTGGTGGATAATCTGCTAAACGATCTCTCCCGACAGGGGGTGGATTTCCAATGCTATGCAAACGATCTGGTTATCATAATTAGGGGAAAGATCGAAGAGGTGATCTCCAACATCCTTCAACAAGCCCTTAATACGATAAACAGATGGTGCGAGAGGAAGTAGATGTCTGTTAACCCCCGCAAAACTGTTATTGTCCCCTTCACCAAGAGAAGATAGCTCGACAAGCTTCGACAACCTACCTTGGCTGGGGAAACCATTCCTTTTGCGGAGGAGGTGAAATATTTGAGAATCACCCTAGATAAGAAACTCACCTGGAACCCCCAATTGGATAAAACCATCAACAATGCCAGATTATCCCTTTGGATCCTTAGAAGGATATGCGGCAAAGCATGGGGGATCAGTCCTCAACTGATCTACTGGATTTACCAAACATTGGTAAAACCCATGGTTACGTACGGCTTTGTCGTTTGGTGGGACAAGGGACTTCAACGGACGGCCAGAATAAAGCAGGCTGGAATCCACCGGCTTGCGTGCCTCGCCATAACTAGAGCAATGTCAACCACACCTACGAGAGCCATGGAGACCATGCTGGACTTAACCCCTCTCCAAATTCTACTGGAAAGGGAGGCCAGGATGGTCTCCTACAGGCTCCTGTTACGAAGAACTGCGATGGGACAAGACGGGGCTTACGAGTGAAATTAATAACCACCTCATCCTCGGCATGATCTCGGACTCGCTAGTTCCCGACAGCACATAGAAAAGCCATACAGCGCCCTCATTTCAGAGAGAGACGCATGGAGCGGGAGTTTTCGGTCAGAGGCCTAGAGTTGACATATCAATAAACCTAGGCTCTCTGGTCACGATATTCCAACCAGAAATGATTGCTATAGAATTGGGAGCGAGAGAGTTGATTCATTTTCTAATTTTCTCCTCGCAAGGCAGCCCTTAAGGACCTGAGCTCCAATCGAGTTGACTCAAGGCTAGTTTGGAACTGTATAAATACCCTCGGTGCCCGGAACAAAGTTACTTTGATCTGGGTTCCGGGACACAGTGGTGTGGAGGGCAACGTAAAAGCCGACGTGCTTGCTACAAGAGGAACCGAACATGTGTTCATAGGACAAGAGCCATTCCTGGGCATTGCAAAGAGCACTGCCAAAGGAATTATCTCAAAATAGACAGAGGGTGCAACACTCACGAACTGGAGAGATACCCCAATGCTAACCCATTCGAAGGCGTTTATAACCAATCCTTATATGAACGCCTCTGCTCAGATCCGAGAATGGGGTAGGAAAGACCTACGCATTTTCACTGCACTGATAACAGGACACTGCCGTCTGGGCAGCCACATGAGAAGGATAGGTCTGCAACAAACATCGGACTGTCGATTCTACAGCGTAGAGGACGAATCTGCAGAGCACATTCTATGTACCTGCTCCGCTCTGAAAAGAACCAGGTTCCAGATCTTCGGATTTACCCGACTGGAGCCTACCGACTTTAAACAAGTCTCGCCCAATTCAACCATGACCTTCATCAAAAGGTGTGGCTTGTACGGTGAACTATAAGTTAGCCATGAGCCACAAGAGACCCGTCTGGGTCGCAGTGGAATGCGATGAGATATCCCACTCATTTTCAACCTAACCTAACTCTCCGGGGCAGCCGGGACCGAGCCTTTGCCGGATAATCGAAAAACTTAATTTTTAATAATTTATTTAGACAAAATCTTAGAAGATACATAAATTCTATTAAAATTAATATTTTTTTTAATATTAAAATTTAATGTAAGCCCAACGTTCATGCGCCAACCTGTGACCGCCAACCACGGATAATCCGCGCTCGGATGAACAATTTAAAATACCGCACGGATAATCGAGGTTCTATTTAAAAAATAATGCACGTGGTCATTAGGGACAACCTTAATATATATATTAAATACGGCAATCGTTTGTGCACACATTACTTTCGTTTGTACATGTCTTATTTTATTAATACAAGTAGTTCTAATGGCAATTTATTAAAACTAACTATTGTAATAGTTTGTCCACACATTAATTTCGTTTGTCCAGGCCCAATTTTCGTTTATCCACCCAACAACAACAAAAAGTTATACCACAATTAAAAATTCGAGCCAAATTTTATATCAGCACCGCCATAAATTATCTAAAATGGATCGTATTCCAGATATTTGAGGAAAAGTGCAAATTTCGATATTTAAAGACTCAAAAATAGATAAAGAGAAAAACACCAAATTTTAAATTTAAGCTTTAATCCATCCTGAGATGACCCAATTAATTTTTGGACATAGTCGGAACATCTGGGGGGAAGGGGTACTTTATGGAGGGTCGTTTTTGTGCTTTATGAAATATATGTTATTTACGCTTTCAGAAGAAAATTCTTCAAATAAAAGTTGCTCCTATACATAATTTTCCTAGAACGTGGTCCGTATTCGAGAAATTTGACAAAAACTGTAAAATTCGAATTTTTAAGAAAATTGTTCAAATATTATCTATAATTTTTATTTTATACATGATTTCTCTAAAATGGATCGTTTTTAATTAGTTTTAATAAATTGCTATAAGAAGAACTTACATTAATAAATGTTCATATTTTGGGCTCTTTATTTGTTAAAATACAATTATTTAAGTTTAAAATAGTAACAAAAAAAATAATACAAACAAATACCCCCTAATTTACCCAACTGTGCGCTCTTCAAAGTCTTAAAAGGGATAAAAATAAGGGTAGCCTATGTTTTATGTTCCACAAACCGGGCGGCACAGGTAACATTCTTAATGAAACCAAACCTTTTAACTGCCGGCTCTTTAAAATCACAGATTTTGTTTGAGCCATCTGTGCCGTAAAACACGCATAAAATTTTGATTTATTACTCCGTGTCGATTGCGATTCTACTATACATTCCTATAATATTAATACGCGACTAAACCCCCAGTAGACGACGATAGCCAACGAATTACTCCGCCAATTGATGGCGTAGATCGGACCCCTACTATTCTATTTTAGGCCTGATGATGACCTTTGAGTCGAAACCGACTGCCGCTTTATAATTTTAGTATTATAATTATGTGATACAGTTTTTGAGTATTATTTTTTCTTTCATGAAGAATACCACATTTGAACAGTTAAATGCCCTCTACGATTTATTGCTTTGATTGTTTAGCAGGAACATAAGCACCAGCTTCTTAAATCCAAAGCACAAAAAACCACCAGCGAAACCAACACCTCCAAAAAAAAACCACACAAAGACAAACAGGGAAATAATGTTGTGCAGGGCCTTATCTGTTTTTTTTTTATTTAGTTCACTTACCCTTGTCGGAATCTTCGACGTCTTCTCATTGTCAATGTCGTAACACCACCATTATTTTCGGCCCTGCACAACATACAAACATTTTGTTAAATAAAAAAAGACATCGTCAGAATCTCTGAATGAAACTATAGCTGGATGATGGATCTACGTTTAGTGAAAAAAAAAATGTTACATGCTTAATTTACTTAAGAGCTACTACTGATAGATATTAAAAAAAAAGTTAAAAATATGATGAAATATGATGAAATATGATGAAATATTTAGAAAAGTACTTAAACAAAAAAATATTATGTTCTATGCCTGTGGAACCCAGTATATTGCGAACCATATTAGAAAATCGAAATTTTAACTCCTGAGACGGAATATTCCAATAATAAAACTGAGATCAGAGGAAGTATTTAAGATGAGAGTTCATTGCATTTAATTTTGTTTCCAAATGAATTTAAAAACGGTAAAAGTTAAAAAGATAAGATCTGCTAAAAATAAATAATTAGAGCAGTTGCTGACCCTATTATCAATATAGCCCAAGAGCCCACTGCAAATTTTTACCGTCATCTGATAACGAAATGAAATATACCCCAGAACCATGGAAAAACATTGTACTTTACCAAATGGCACCTGTGCCAATCCCAATCCTGAGCAAAGTGGATTAAAAAAATTATTTTATATTAAAAAAATAACAAAAGGCATGACAGCGCTAATTTTGTTTGCCCTTAAAGTTTTCCAAAAAATAACATTAAAATATATCGTTAAAGGGAAACATTTTCTTCCTCTTAACGTCGCACAAAAACATTATCCACGATTAGTAGATAATAGTACATTATATACCTAGGGTGAGAAGTGAGCTATTATTAACCGAGCACTTTAATATCCTGAGGCGCTACGCGAGGTAAATAATAGCTTTCTCAGCCGAGGTATATATAGAATTTTTTTTACTACTAACATTAATATATTAGCAATTTTAATTTTGACATAAGTAATTTCCTAACAATTTGTTAAATATTTCGAAATATCAAGCAGAGTAGAGCGTGTTTCTAATCAGACTGGCTTTATTTATGTAAAAATTTGGCATGTGTCAAATTTTGATATGATTCTAGGAAATATCCCATTGCATTTTTGATATTTTAGTGACATGGATTTATTGGTATTAATTAATAATTTTTGAAGCCTATTGCCGGTGTTGAATTTCCTAGTTAATATATATTTTTGTGCTTTTGGTTAAAATTACGTTAACGAGTGTTTCTGTTAATTTGGTTAAGATTATAGAATTTTTCTCATTATTTACTTAGGTGTTTTTTATTATTATTATTGGATCGTAAGTTTGACAGATGACGGTTCCACCAAGGAGCATCCCTACTAGTTATATTTCTTTGAATGGGGCACCTATTGGTTGCTACACGAACATCTAAAAATATTTATTTACTAAACCCAGGACATGTTTTATTATATGGTTTAAAAGACATTATAGGTACTAAACGTTTATTATTGATCAACTTATTTAAAAATCTTACTATCCTTATATTATGAAGTGAACTATGTAGTACTTTGTATACATGTAAATGGTAATAAAACCGTCACAAATCAGATTGCGGTTTGATTCTAAACAAAATTTGGCCAAATCTCGATACTGTGAATTTATAGATATCCACCCAGGCAGCACACCAAATCCTTTGGATATCTACTGAACATCCCAATATCCACTGAATGTCCAGTCCATGGTGGATATCTATTTTATATCCATGAAATGTAATTTATAGACATGCAAATGTCCATAAATAATAGTAATTATATATAGCAAATTATTAAAAAATTACGCCATTGTGGCTAATAGTACCGTTCAGATATTTAAAATTAATTTTTTTAAGGTGTATTCAATATCCCATGGACATCCACTATAAATATATCAAAGTCTAAGCGCGGACGCAAACCATCGTGGATATCTACTAGATGTAATTTTTGTATAGATGGCGATACCACTTTCGTATCTACTCATGCTCAACCCGCCGTAAATGAGTTCGAACGAATTTTTTTTGACAATCCGACTCCATTAGAGACTGGAGTCGAGAATTTCCATTTATTGCTGAAGAGTTCTAATAAGGATGACTTTCTCCTTAGTGCCCTTATAGTGGGCAAAATCAAAGGCAGATTGTTGGAAATATTTTTTATCTCTATTTTCTTTCGACGTTATTCAATAATCATTGGATACTTATGAACCTCTACTAAAGATACCCATAAAATATTTTGCTGAATATTTGAATTTTATATCCATATTGGATATCCACAAAATATATTCTGTGGATATCTCTGGGATTTCTTGTATTGTCTGGAAGATACTCATTAGATATTTTGCTGAATATCCATAGGATATCTTCTATATTCTGGATATAGACGGACATTTGGATATCCATATTCCACGGAATATTTCTGATATCCTGTGGATATATTGGATATCGACAAAAGATATTCTGTGGATATCTCTGGGATTTGGTGTGTTGTCTGGGGGGCATATATCATAAGTAATAAAATTTTACGATTTACGCTTGGAAAATAATGAATACTTCAGTTTTGATTTTGACATTAACACCATATAGATTGCAATTTGCTGAGGGCTTTTTCTAAGATTTAATTTTTAATACAAACACTATCACATACTATAAGAAATAAACAAATTTGAAGCTAAAAAGTAAGAAAAAATTCAAATTATAATTGATACAAATTAAAATATAAACAATGAACAGGAACGCCGATGTTGCCAAATAATGAACTGATTTTAAAACAAACTTGATAAATGAATTGAAATTAAAAAAAAAACAATTTAATAAATCGGTTTTATAAAAAATTCTTAAATAAATATAGAGTAAATATTGCATATTGCCAGACACAAATTTTGCTACTTAAAAAAAAGGGCCTAAAAAATCCGACGAAGATGCAAAATTTCGATACTCCTGGCAAAACTGAATAATAGCCTACTTATGCTTTTCACAATTTTTCTCCAGAGGGCCTATAGGGACCGTGCGTCTTGACTTTAACGATAACTGGTGACAAAAATGTGAACTTTATGGGGGGTATTTATTAATGTTTTATACGGCATTTATTGTTTAATAATTATTAATTAAATAAAGTCGAATTATTTTCGTAATATCATTATCGAAAAAACTTGTTGCATCCGTGGATGTACAAACACATCCCTTTGGAAACCTAGATTTCATTCGATAGTAAAGAAATTTTACAAATTTCCACAGAAATGTCTTACACCCAATGATATACATAATTACAAAGATTGCTTATCCATATGTAAATCAGACGACGAAAAGCGTATTTCACTAGACAGTTTTCTTTTTATCTAGCTTGTATCAATTTTGAGCACTTAGTTGTGAAGAAATCATTTACAGAAACCGGTTTAGAAATTAGAATCTTTAGTGTTTTCTTGTCACTAAGATTTTACATATTTAAATGAACATTTTATATAAATATAATTTTACAGATAATTAATGGTTTATTCTGTGATTAAAACTAATGTAGAATGTTTATTATGAAATGAGAATGTCTAATTTGACAAACATATCATGGCCCTCTTTACAATTTATTAACTATTTCTCATTTATTATTAAAATAAACAAATCATAAATAACACATTGCAATTACTGTCAAAAGAGATTGCAACAAACTTTAAATATTAAAAATCCATGATTTTTTGTAAAAAATTTTTAGTGACATTACCATTAAACAATATTCAGAATAATAGATAAGTGTCCAATTACAACTCTTACCAAAGTTGTTATATACCTCATCTCAAAGTTGTTTACATTACCTTTTCAAAATGTATTACATATTGCAATTATGTATTTTATATAGTATTATTTCTGAAATGAGAGTAGTCTAATAGTTATTTATGCAACAAGTGTAAAAAGGTTTATTGCACGCGACGTGAAATTGTCGAATGCAATAAACACTTTTTGCACGAGTTGCATACAATATTTTTTCTACGTTCATGCAAAAACAAAAAAAAATTTATAGGAACTGCAGTTGTATTATCCAAATCATAGTATCAGTGATCGTGTACCTTTGTTTGAGGCATTTATTTACGTTTGTGTTCATAATTTGTAATGACATTTTTTAATAAAATACATTTTTTTATTAATTTATTTATTAAATGATTGAAAATAATATAAAATATGCAATTGTTTTTTAAACGTAACACAGAAAATGAAAATGGACTAAATATTTGGCGTTGATTTGAATATTTAGGTTTGTCATGATCATAAAACGCTGTAGTAAAATGACAGATGAGTGCAATAAAATTTTTATTGCACTAGTGCAATAAAGACCCACTTTTTTCACTAAATATAGTTCAACAAAGTTTTGTTTTTTGCATGAACGTAGAAAAAATTATTTATATCCATCTGTTATAAAAATTGTTTAGATCTCTTAATATTATTTAACTACATGGAAACTCAACTTTCCAAATACATAATAACATGTCTTGAAGTAAAACTTTATTTATTTTCTTTTTCTAAAGATTAAAATGCTGAAATTTTATTTTAAAAACACATTTGGGCTAGAACGGCTCTATTTTAGTGAGCACTAGGAAAGGCACATTGCAACCCGCTTTTCATAATTTTTTTATAGATGGGTGAGCAATCTATAATGTGTATCATTGGACATCTCATAAACGTCAGTGGATGAATGACATTTCGACTAACATAAAGATTTATTTTTATTATTATCAATCTCTTTTTATTAATTTACATTTTTTAAATGTTATTGTAATACTTTTAAATTCAGTGTTAATAACTACCGATATTTTGACATTGGATACACTTGTTTAAGGTACAACTTTACAATTTTATTGTCACATAGCTATTTAAATCTTTTTGCTTAAAATGTATATACTTGTCCAGATTTTAATAATGTTTCACATTTTACGTCATTTTGACCATGTACACGATTGTTTGGTACGGGCCGGTATCTATTTTTACCTATATTTTAATATTTTAAAAAATATCCTTTATTATTTACTTGCAATGTTTACCCCATTTAATTCTAAAATTAAACACTAGAGA